CCGCCCCCAGCACCGAGGTCAATCCGGTCTCCACTAACCCCGGCTCCGTTCACTCTCAAGCGGCTGGACCTGAGGCCTCACCGCTGTCCAGCATCCTTTCTGGGTGCAGCAGGCACGGAGGAGGAGCTGCCAAAACCCCGAGAACAGAGCCTAGTGGAGGTCACGGAAGGAGGGGGTGAACGTAGGGCAAGGTCGGGAGAAGGGTCGGGACCGCGCAGAGCCTACAGCCGAGGCTAGAAGATTGGAAGAAAGGGGCTACGAAGTGACCTTGGGCCAGTTCCTTACATTCCTGGGGTCTCAGTTCCCGTCTGTGAAATTGCGCTGGCAGTGAACAATGAGTGCCAAGGGTTTCACGTAGGGGCCACGAGGCCGCGTAAACAACCCCGGGCCTCCCGTTGCGAAAATAAAGCACCTTGTTCCTGGAGGCGCGCACGGAGGAAGCAGGAAGCAGCTAGAGGGTGGCGGGTGCCGAGACAGAGAGGTCGATTGTTTCATCTCTGGTTCCTCTTTGGCCGCAGAGCTGCCTAGAGGACACTATGTCCCTTCCCCACCCGCATTCCAAGGACCCGGCACAGGAGCCGCGCCAGGCCAAACCAAACCGGACAGATGGCGCTGGCGTGCAAGCCCCAGTGACGGCGATGAAGACCCTCCTCTTACCCCAAAGCGACCCGGTAGGGGGCTCCAAGACAAGGGCTGGGCTGGTGCGCAGTCTCAACCTGGTGCTGTGCAGGTGCTCGCGCTTCGGGCTTGGAATTGGCGCCCTGCTCCTGTTTCCCAGGATACTCTCCTGAATCCCCTAAAACCGGCCTTCTGCCTCCGACACCCGGATGTGCCTTACACACTCCGGTGCTTGTGTTAGGGCTGCGCCGGGCGGGGCCGGACGGCAGACAGCGCGGAGGCGGGGAGAGCTTGGGCGCAGCCTCCTTAGCCCTCCTTATCCCGGCCTGGCTCTGCTCCAGTAGAGGGTGCCCCTAGTCTCTAGGCACCCCGGAGATAACTTGTTCATCCCAATATAAGCCTGGTACAGATCCCTGCTGCCATCTGATCTTTCCTTCCTGGACCCTGGTTGGAGCAGGAAGGCAAAAGGTGAGAGAAGGCGTCAGCCCTCTCCCCGCGCCCCCAAACCAGGGAAGAAAATGCAGCTTCCGGGAAGTGAAGAAATCCCGCGAAGGACAAGACTCCTTCCAGGTTTTTCGTGTGTTTGCTGTCTTTAAAGCTCACCGGAGCTAAAAGATTAGTTGGTTGACTTTTAAATGTCATTTAACCAAATGACATATAAAATTTTCCTTCTGAAATTCTTGAACGTATCGCAACGTCCCAAGGTTTCACCAATATCTGACATATCTGCGTGTGGTCTGCAGGGGCAGTCGGCCACCCCACTACCACGAGATACCTGTTTCCAGGATGAGAAACAGGCTGAGAGAAGATACCAGGCTGTTAGTGATGGAGCTATGTTTAGAAAAATTACATAACGACTGCTCAGAAAGGGACTAGGAAGGTGAACGCCCGAGGGAAGTACCGGGGCGATTGTGGGGGGTGGGGCGAGGCTTTAAAGAAACCTGACATCTCCGTCCCTGAATTTTGAGGGCTGAGGCTGTGTTTCTTTTTTATGCCCCGCTTCTGGCACCCAGAACACTGAAGATCAAGAGTCTTGAAAAGAGAACGCCTTAGTTTGCTGTGCCCATTTCATAGACTCAAACCAGACTCAGAATGGCGCTCAGTAGATGGTGCCTTAGCCCATAAAAACCAATCCCTATACGTAAATCAGGCGTGGCGGTACATGTCTTTAATCCCAGCACTCGGAGAGCCGGGCAGATCTACAAAGTGAGTTCCAGGGTTCCAGGGGAAACCTGTCTCAAAAACCAAAAACCTATCAAACACCTATAATCATAAAATCATTATAGAATGAGTTACACTTTGAGGGTTGTGTCGTGCTGGAAGAGAGTTAATCTCCCATCTAGGAGAACTGTAAATTCTAACTTGGTACTTGGGGCTGAGAATTATGTATAAAGATTTATAGAAGACTTGCTAGTTGACTTTTTGACATTAGCTTAGACACTCTTAGCAGCTTATTTCCAGTCTTTCCAGCCCAGCTTTGCTGGTGTAACCTGAGAAGCCCCCACCTCAGCCTTACCTGTACCTCCTGACTTCAATGTGTCCCATTGTCACAGCAGTCTTGGACCACTGGGGCAACCCACCGCTCTCCAATACTGGGTAAACCTGCCAACATAAAATAGCCAACGCCTTCTGGGACGTTTCTCTGACCAATATCACCCCCCTGAGACACATCTGGCCCTCATTGTCCCCTTAGCAGTACTGAAGTGAGCCTAGTGTACTTCCTGAAATGATAATATGTGGTTGGTGGTAGTGAGCGACGTGACTACCAACTCACTAGCACATCCTTTCCCACTCCATCCTCCCATTTGACTACAGTCAGTCACATCTGAAATGATTCCCAATGGTAGCCCGGGTGAGTGTCCTGTTTTGCTGTGCAAATGACATACAGAGCGATCCTCTCCCCAGAGGGAAAGCCATGCATTATCTGTCATACACTCTCAGACCATGTGCATGAGTTACTGACCTCGATTACTGAATTGCAAACCACAGAGCACCTCTAAGATGTTGGTACCCATGGGCAGATCACCAGCACCCTGTCATCTAGTAAGCAGGGCCATCCCATGCCTTTCAGAATCTCTGGGGGTTTGGCCAAGTCATCCCTCCTAAGAACGTATAGGAAGGTATGCCGTGAGCTCTTGTTAGACTTTGTATGCAGAGGCTGCCTTCATCCCAAGGAATCTGCTTGACACTCAAAACTGGGATCTAAATTAAACGGAAACACAGTGTAGTTAATGTGTCTTGTCGGTGGGGTGTATTCCCTGTGCGATTTTCTCATACATACATATAATGACAGGGTCTCACTGTGTGGTCCTGCGTGGAAGACTGGCCTGTCTCTGCCTCTGGAGTGCTGGAATTAAAGGCGTGCGCCACCACACCTGGCTCTTCTTGTCCCTTTTAAACATTGTAAAAAGAAAATTTCTCTTATGGCAGTGAGCCATGTGAATGACTAGTGAAAATGCTCTTTCTTCTCCCCGTTAATCACGTAAACGGGGTTTGCTCCCCCAGATAAGCCATCTGTATACACATCCTCTTTAGGGTCTGCTTGGGGTGGGGGGCAAGAGGGGTACACAGATGAAGAAAATGGCAGCTCTGAAGAGGCTTTCTAGCCCCATGTCAGGCCTCTTTCTAAAGACAGCTCCCAGGCCTGCTAATGAAGAACTGGTTTGTTGGGTTTGAGACTTCACGCCTTCATTTCCCAATGTCCTGCCTTGGAGGGCATCACTAGCAACTCAGAGACAGGCAGGAAACGGGGACTCCCATCGAGTAAGCAAGAGAGGCAAGTAGAGGCGGCCCCATCTCTAGTCATTCTGTCTTCCAATCTGGGAGCTGGAGAAAAGGCTTGGCTGTGAATGTGAGCACACGAAGCAGAAACTGGGAACCAGGTCACTCCGGACAAGACATGTGCCAAGAGTCCAGCTTCCCGCCGCACTTCGGCCCAGACGCAGGGCCTGGGGCCAGGCTCCTTAGCAGCTGTGCACCTCACCTGAACCCCCAGAGGGCGCTGTTGCAAATAACCAACTAGGTTTGGGAGGGAAAAAAAATCTCTGCCTTTTAGGGATTGAGATGTGTGCGTGAGCTGAGTCTTTGGGATCCCTACCGTAAGTCTTCTGAAAGAGAGACAGAGGCATGCAGTCAGAGTAGGGAGTGTGGCGCTTGGGAGAAGTTTTAGAGAATTGGCTTTCTGAAAGATAAAAACGCAGGAAAACTGCAACACCTAAGTCCCCTGCTGAATCAGGTTCTCGTTATCTCACACTTTGACCCAGGCCGGTTTAGTTAACATCCCTCCCCTTTCTGGACCCTGCCCAACTCAGACAACACCTAGCCCTGGGTTCCTCTGCTCCCTGCTGGTAGTGGAGAGCGCAGCATCTGATTGGTGTAGACTAAATCCCGCCTTTATTCCCCCCTCCCCCCCCCCCCCCCCCCCCCCCCCCCCCCCCCCCCCCCCCCCCCCCCCCCCCCCCCCCCCCCCCCCCCCCCCCCCCCCCCCCCCCAATCTGCAATTCTGCAATGAGATCGGACGGGGCTAGAAAACAATGGTGCCATCTGCTACCTCAGATCCCACAGACTTTCTGTTTTGATGCAACTGGATTTTTCTTTTAATCTGGAGGCCTGGGGGAGGTGGCCCCAGGGGGTGAGCAAAAGCCAAAGCCGAATTCAACACTGCCCCCCATTACCCCAACCCACGTAAGAAGTCAAATGTGGCTGCACATCTGCTATCCCAGCACTCCTATCAAGATGGATGGCTATGATCCAATTTATGAGGACCCCTTTCTACAGCAAGTTCCCCTTACTTGCTGGGTTACATGGAAATGTCTCACAGTGATTCTGATATAGTGGCCAATTCTGGTACTAACTAACCTAATTGACCATATTAACTTTTTTTTTCTTTCTCTTGAGACAAGATCTCACTGTATCTCACTGTATACAGGCTGCCCTTGAACTCACAATCTTCCTGCTTCGGCCTTCTGATTTCAGGAACTACAGGTGTGTATAATACCATACTTGGCCCATATAAACCTTAAATTATAGTACATGGGACCTGATTCTCAATGCTTAAATCTGGTTAATTTTCTATACTTCTAGGTCTATTTTTTTAAAAGAATATTGAATATGCTACAACAAATTTTAAAACCAAGGTACAAATTTATATGCTTATTTCAATTAATTTTTTTCAGTGAGCACACATCCCTTTCATTTCTGCTGTTGGCACCCAAGTTGGAACCTAATTTTTCCATCTATCAAACTGCATAGCTACTGAGTCTTTAGGAGTAGCCGGGACCTCTTTCTAAAAGCCTGTTTACTTGTCTCGAACCTTCTAAGCATCCCTGGAGACACAGGGGCATTTCCTTCCACAGGCAACTCTCGGGTCCACCTTCTCTTACCTTAGCAAGCTTCAGCAACACTGCCAGTACAAAGAGTCGTCCCCAGACTGCGACCAGCCAGATGCCCAGAGTCCTCTGACTTCCCAGCAGGGTATAATAACTGCCCAACAAAATCTCTTCCAGACTTAATGTGTTTCCTTTAGTTGGGAATGAAAGTTCCCACACGAGCGTGACAGGAAAACCACCTACTGATGAAATACAGTATCAAGCAAGCTTCTGGATGTCTACGTGTTTGCTATTGAACGGGCAAAGTTCGGTTTTGTTACCATTTGTTTTAAGCTTAAACTGTCTGTGAATTTGACCCTCTGGTGAGGAGAGGATCAAGGGTTGAGACTGCTACTAAGGGAAATACTTTAAAAAAAAAAAAAAAAAAAGATGGCAAAGGCCATCCTGGCTCTGTCTGAAGCTCACCCTGCCAGGCAGGCAATTGTGGACACAAGTTAGCTCAGGAACTAGCTGAAGAGAATGGGGACTAGCCAGGGTACCCTGAAGCATAAGCAGGAAACACGACTTGAGGAAGAGTTTTGAAAGTTTCAGGAGCTTTGCAGGGGATGCCTGGAATTCTGAGAATCCCTTGGGGGCAGCTCTTAGTATTGCCATCTACGATTCAAGTGGTTAAACTCAATGGAAAATTAAGCGGGGTTAAATTAGTAACCCGCGTTGGTCTCTTCAGAAAACAAGGTTTGGTCACCTAACCTGGAGAGAAATGAGACAGCTGACATGCTTTCTGGGGCCGAAGGGAAGACAGACCTGGTAGTGGATGAGAGCCATAAATGTGACCAGTTGCTAAGTCTGTAGTTGGCATGAATATTTATTCCTTGTTTCCTTATAACTATGTTTATGTGTACAGTGATCCCTTGGTTCCCTTCTCTTTATTATCCTTTCGTCACGTAACATAAGGTGTGTTGACACTCCAGTCCCAAGTCAACACATCGTAAGAGTGCATAGGGCTCTTGCCCAGGATCAGAGTTTGTTTCCCAGCCTGCATGTCTGGTAACTCACAACTGTAATGCCAGCTTCGGAGGATCTGATGCCCTCTTCTGGCCTCCGAGGGCACTCCCACTCATGGGCCACCCCACTACCTGCCTCCCCTCGCCCACAATTCAAAATAAAAAAATAGGGCCAGTTATAGTGGTACACACATTTAATCCCAACACTCAGAAGGCAGAGGCTGGTGGATCTCTGTGAGTTCCAGGCCAGCCTGGTCTATATAGTGAGACCATGCCTCAAAAGACCAAACATGAAATAAATAAGAAGTAAGTAAATAAATAAATAAATATCTTAGAAAATACCGTGTTGATTTTAGTCTCCTAATAGTTAAGGACTATTAACTATTACCAGCTGGCCTCCTATACAGAGTGGACTTGTTGAGATGTCTCAGACACACGATCCAAATCCTTAAAAATTTCTCTGTTGGACTGAGGGTGTTGCTCCGTTAGAAAGGACTTATCCAGAACATCTGAGGGTTGAGTTCAATCTCCAACAATGGAAAATAAATAAATAACCTTCTTGGGCCCAGTAAGATGGCTCAGCAGGTAAGGCCACTTGCCACCAAACACAGCAGCCTGAGTTTAGTACCTGAAAACCGCCTAGTGAAAGGAGAGGACCGACTTCCGCAAGCTGTTTTCTGACCTCACACGTGTACGCTAATGTGCGCATACACACACAAATAATAAATACATGTTTTAAAATTTCTTCCCTGTATGGGCCATTTCACATTCAAACCATATTTGTCTTTGAGGGGGATACATGGGAAGCCCATTCTTGATATTGGTAGTTGAATGAGATTTGTAGTATTATGTGTGCACATAATATACATTTTATATGCATGGACAACCCTACTAAAATACCAACTCAAAGTGATCTGACTCTCCAGCTGGACCCCGAGACAAACTTGAAACAGATTCTTCTCTGGAATTGTCACTCTTTTGAGAGCGGCAGTAAAGGAACGTATCTGGGGCCTGGAAGATAGGCCAAAGGTAGGAAGGTTGGTCTCAAGCCACGTCCAGACGTGGCAGTGATCACTTTACACCCTGTCTATGCCCTGAAGTCTCTGTGGTCACTGCCCTCCAGGTCCTCACTGACTGTGGAGGGGGCAAACACAGGAGCTTGCTCTTGAGCTCCCGTACTTTCTGTGTCCTAACTCACAAATGCAACTGTTCCTCTTTCCCATATTTTCCATCTCTCCTTTCCGGACACTGCTAAAATCCTCAGCCTGCTTGCCCTAACGCTCCGGATTTTCTCCCCCCCCCCTTTGCCTGTCCTGTCCCTCTCACCTCTCCTCCCCTCTTCTCCCCCTCCCCTGTCTGTCCCATTCCTCTCTACCCCCTGCATCTCCTCACAGGCTGCCACTGCCAAGCCTCAACCTTTCTTTGCTTCCCACTCACAAGGCCTAACTTCTCTTCCTCGTGTCCATCACCCTCCTCCGACAACTGTCCAAGCCCGCTGTTTCCACTGTCAAACACCAATAATATTGGCCTGTACTTTCTCCAGAGTCCCTTTGAAGATTCTTTCATCTGCAGAAGAGTCTTGTGTCCTTAGTAACAAGGCAATGGAAGAGGGAGCTATTCTTCAGGTTGAGGCCCAGGAGTGGGTCAACAGAAACAGGGGTCACTGTAGCGCCCGAATACAGATGACAGGTGACCTTTCCTCCAGCTCATTATTTTGAAAAGAAGTTTAGGTGAGTGATAGAGCTTCGTGGTAGAGCATGTGCTTAGCATGTACTTAAAAGTTGCTTGCATGTATATGTGTGTGTGCATGCGTGTGTGTGTGTATGTGTGTGTATGTCTTCCTCAGGAGCTTTCTACCTTGTGTTTTGACACAGAGCCCCTACTAGCTTGGAACTCACCAAGGGGGCTAGACAGGCTGTCCAGCGGTCCCCAGGGACCCACTTGTCTCCATGTCCCCATCGCCAAGGTAACAAGCATGTAACACCACACTCAGCTTTTTCATATGGTTTCTGGGATCACTCAGGCCATGGAAAGTGCCTTACTGACTGTGCTGTCTCCCCAGACCCCACAAAGTTCACTTTACGTAAAAGATGAAAGAGGAACATAATGAACCCTTGCCACCTATAATTGAGAGCCACCACTAGTCCTTAGCAATTTGCCACACATACTTTAACTCTGTAAGCATAGATACCCATACACAGTATATGTATGTACAGGTACGTGGATATATGCATATTGTTGAATCATTCGGAACTCGTTGCAGAAACGACACATCGTTTTCTCAAGATTCCATTCGATGAGCATGACGTGCTTAGCTGGCATGATTCTTCAGATCCCTTAGTCTAGACTGTAAGTACCCCATTGTGTTAGTTTCATTTCTCGTCATTGACAAAAATACCTTCTGGAAGCAACTTCAGGCAGGTGGGATTTGCTTTGTCACACAGCTTAGGGGATTTTGTTCTCTCTTCTTCTTCTTCTTCTTCTTCTTCTTCTTCTTCTTCTTCTTCTTCTTCTTCTTCTTCTTCTTCTTCTTCTTCTTCTTCTTCTTCTCCTTCCCTCCCTTCCCTTCCTACTTCCATAACCCACTAAATAAATATCCAACCTCACCCTGCATGGTGCACCTCTCTGTCTGTCTCTTGCCTGCCGCTGTGTGTCTCCCTGCCTGGGACCAGCCATCTTCAGAGATCTGCATCAGCATGTTCTTGTGGCATGCCCATCTGTCTGTCTCTCCTTGTGGCCTGCTGCCGCCACTCGGGAAACTGTGCCTTCCCTGCCTAGAACTGGCTGCTCTTGGGACTGGCTGCTCTTGGGACTGGCTGCTCTCAGGACCCGCTGCTAGCTGTCTGCCACCACATGGCCTGCTGCCACCACCTGGGGACCTGCAGCGTTTTTGCCACTGCAGCCGCTGGGGACCCGGGGATCCTGCAGCATTTTTTATTAATCATTAATTCAGTTCACCCAGGTTAGGTATGTTGTGTAGGAACACTACCTGCATGGTTCTGAGGTGTAGTTTAGGTTGGGGGGGCGGGCAGTATGTTTCTTATGTGACGAAGGAGCTCCAGTTTTTCCTGAGGTCTGAAGAAGAAGGTACTCAGGAGGAGATGAGAAATCCAGGCAAATGTGTCCTGTGCTTGTTGACTGTTATTCAGAGGCCAGCAGAGACAGAGTAATGACTCGGCAGGTTAGAAAGTTTGCTGCTCTTCCAGAGCAGATTTTAGCTCACAGTACCCAGACAGGGTGGCTCACAACCACTTGTAACTGCAGTTCCAAGGTATCCAGTGCCTTCTTCAGGCCTCTATGGGTGCCTGCACCTACATGTGCACACACATTAAACACATAGATTAAAATAAATCTTTAAAATAGCTTCAAGATGCCAAGAAACAAGCCTCACTCAAATGGCCAGGTTTCAGCTCCTGGATGAGATGTTTCGAACACTTTCCCAAGCCCTCTCTTCCAGGCTACAACATATTTTTAGCTAGCATTAAGAGGGAAAGACAATCTCAAATAAAAAGAATGATTGTTTTAGTGTTCTTTCCCTTCCCTTCATTGTCAAATCTGCATGAACCATTTTACTCAGAAATCCCTTCCCTCTGTCCTTCTTCCTGTTCACCAAATGACCTCCCATTTGTAGGCAGGGATTTTATCCCACTAGCCAGCTCCCAAATAACCACATGTGTTCTGCTGATAGCTTAGGCTTATTACTGACTAGCTCTTAAAACTTAAATTAATCCGTATTTCTTATCTACACTCTATCACGTGGTGGTACCTTTTTTCAGCACAGCATGTTTACCTCCTGCTTCCTCTGCACGTGACTGCCAACTCCACCCACCTTCTTCCCAGCATTCTCTCAGTCTGACTCTCCCACCTAACCCCTTTCTGCCTACCTATTCGCCAGTTGGTTCTTTATTAAACCAATGATAGCAAAACATATTCACCGTGTACAAAAGGATTATCCTGTCCCACAGCACCCCTTGACTCCACATACCCAGGTGCCTGGTCCAGTCCTCGGGAACCAGCACTTCAGGGGAAGATAGCCAAGGTAGGCAAGGGCCAGGTCACCAGGAGGTAGCTGTTGGGACCATCATCTTGGGCAGCTCAGAAGGGGACTTGGGGTCATAGACAAAGGCAATCGCTTGAAAAGGCCCCAACTCCAGAGGAGGATGCCAACTGTGAGCTGTAAGTGGTCTGTAGCCCAGGCTAGTAGGCATGTTAGGAGAGCCTAATAGAAACATGAGAGTCTGAAGAGAGACTGAGGACCTCTGTC